ACAGGTTGTAGGACGTCGATTAACAAAATGCTGAAATAGCCTATATTTAAAAGTTTGTCAGTGAGCCTTTGTCTTGTCTTAATCGTCTTGTTTTACGTTATATCATTATGACCAAAGAACCGTAAATATTTCCAAGCAATAGGTTTTTTTGTTAATCATGTCGACATTTACCGGTAGTTGCGTGTGAATGGGTCTCCCACACTGCTTGATCACGCCCATGATTTCTCCCCTTGGCTATTAGATTTTCTGGAAGGAAAACAACTCCTCTCCCCCGTCCTAACTCTTAGTATACCGGTATCAGATTTGCACAATCCATACGCACAATGCTTTAGCATGTTTCCCTCGTTCGAAAGCTTGACAGACCTCCCGCGCATAGTTACGGTTGCTAAGACACGATTGGCCAGTGGCGGTTTTCGGGCGTGGCTTGGCGAAGGGTCAACTGTCAAAATCAAATTAATTTAACTAGTGAGTAAGAAAAGTGTTTTTTAAGAGACAATTTCCTATAGTGTCTATATAGTTGAAGGAACAGCCTTTATTGTTTGACCTATTGAAACGTTTACTTGATTAAGACACTGATCATCACATATAATTTTTGTTAGCAATGCATATAAATGTACCATTCACATTCTCTGTTCACTAGATAATGCACAAGTTGTCCAGCCACCGTGCAGTGATGCCATGGCTCCCTCAACTCAATGGGGCTTGCAAGCAAGAAACCTCTTCATTGTAGCTTACATTTGGGGATTTGGAGGACATTTGAACCCTAGGTATACATGTAATTCGTGAGTGAAGATACTAAATTCTAGTTATGATATACACTGAAATGGTGTAGGATATACTTTGAAAATTTCACAAATAATTACAAAGAAAAGTCAAGTAATGCATTGGGACTCAAGTATCAAATGTAAAAACGCAAGTAACTTTGTGGGTAGGTCTCGGACGCAAATCTAAAATGGGTTGGTCTGATGTAGCTACATTACTCATAGGTGTGGTTTGGGCCTAACGTGAAATAAACCAATCAGAGAGTCATCTCACGTTCCCTTTAAAAGCAGGCACACTTGTTCCATGGCGGATTGCTATTATAATGGTGGTTTGCCAGGCGCACGCCAGGAGCGGTTCACCGCCGAGGAGACCGACATTCTCGTCAGGGCCGTAAAAGACAGAGAAGTGACATTGTATGGGGATGGGAGAAACCCACCCAAATTAGCTTTGGTTAAACAGGCGTATAATAATTTGGGTAAATGTGTAAGGTAGATTTATGCCTATTTTTCACATCTTCATGGACACCACAATGATTACCCTCGTGTGGTAATATTTTTCCTTGTAATTATGTATGGGTTGCAAAAATGGGAACTTCTGCATCTGTTTATCAGAGAAGCGAAGTGTATGCTAGTTGTGCACACGTTACATTATGGTCAAGTATGCGTCCTTAAAGGGTTAGTTCACCCAAATTGAAAATTAAGTCATTAATTACTCACCCCCATGCTGTACCAACCCCGTAAGACCTTCGTTCGTCTTCGGAACACAAATGAAGATATTTTTGATTAAATTTGAGAGCTGTCTCACAACCACATAGGCTCCTAAGGGACTGGCTCTTGACGGCCCAGAAAGTCAATGAAGAAAATGTTTAAATATCCCAAGTGACTACCGTGGCTCAACTATAAGTTTATCAAGCGACAAGAATACTTTTTGTGCGAAAAAACAAACAAAAAAACATTTGCTTTGGAACACACGTCCTCTTTTCGCTTAACCGCCCCCAGGAGCACAAGTTCATTCCCTAATTTACCGACATGCGTCTGTGGAGGGAAAAGTCCGCTGTGCGTTGGGTGCAAAATAGGAATGATACATGTGTCGGAGTACAAAGTCAATTGCACTGGGTGCAAGATAGGACCCCTTGACTTAAAGGAGATATTTTGAAGTGAAAGACTGAAATAGTATGTTCCTGCTCCATATTCCAATAATCCTTGTTTTGTTATAGTGATTATAAAAGAATATGCCTGTTCTCATTGTAGACACTGGCCACATTTTGATCTTTTTGCACGGGAGGCCCTACATAAGAGCCATTGTAAAGTTGAGCTCCACCAGACGGCACAGTATTTGAGCATTTCTTTGAATTCAGTGCAATGAGAGACACAACCAATTTCATCAACTACAGTAGGCGTAAGTGTCCACAGCTCTTCTTCACGTCTGTGCCTCAGGTTTGCCTTTTATCCTATAGAGTACATATTAGCATCAAAATTAAATGTTTCTTCATTCAGCAGGTGATTAAATTGTATCTGTACTTCTTGCCCCTGATATAGTATGAAATACATGCATATCTACTGGACATGCTTCTGGATGCTCAACAGCCAGCACTTCTTGTGGGAGAGTCTGGCTCTGGCAAAACAATGCTGTGCAAGTCTTTAATATCACAAGCAAGACCACACATGCATTTACAAGCTAGTCCAGGCCTTCACCGTTCTGACTTGTGCAAGGCACTCAAGAAATGTATATACCAGGATAATCAAATAAACAACACGAAGGTCTTAAAGCAGCCAGACCTTCTTCTGTTCATTGATGACCTAAATGAAGCACCATTTGGTGAGTCTATAAAAAGTTACATTGAGTCAGCTGCTGCTGACATTTGTTTTAATAAACCAAAATCTCAATCATCCATATATATCTTTCATTATTTTCTATTCATTTACTTGAGCTCATGAACTAACATTATAAATGAGTACAATATGGGAATCAAAGATTTTTCTTCTTGAAAAACATAATTAGTAGTACTTCTCATCTGATTTCAGACAGCATCAATTAACCCTCTGATGGTCTTCCTTTATGAGTCACGTCCTGCCTGGGCCTTCCCGGTCAGAAGTGACCGGAGGCCTAAAAATGAAACTTCTTCCATCCCAGTAAAACCAATGCAATTTATTTTTGTTCTATAATATTTATTCTTTTTAATTTAGTATTTTGAGACAATTTGATTGAATTTATTAATATTTATGCAATTTTTATTGTCTATTTTTTCAATGGAAATTTATATATATTTTTCTATATATATATATATATATATTTTTTTTTTAATTCTTAATGCAGTATTTTTGTTTAATATAGAGTCTAGGCCTTCAGAAAAAAAAAATTTGAAGAAAATTAGCACCATCTGGTTACACTATAGAGAAAAAGCGTAGAATCATCGTGTAACCACTAGATGACATGCACAGCTCTCTATGGAGAGGCATGTGAATTCCCCAGCTGTTTATGAACACATTTTTTTTTTATATTTGAATATATAATTGAAACAATCTCAAAAACTATTTCTTATTTTAAAAAATTGTAAAATTTTTACTTTTGTAAATTGTGAATTGTTGTGTTTTTGTCAATTTCCCATTCATTTCCTATGGGGGTAGGGTTGCCAACTTCCAAAAAGAAAAATGCGGGACAATTAGGATCATTATTACTAATTTTGGCGATCAATTTAGGTGACCGGGGGGGTGGGGTGGGGTTCTCGCAGGGAAGGTCTCTCGCTCTCTCCCTCTCTGCCGTGGTCGCGCTACACTGTTTGGCGCTGGCGCACATGTTCTGTCTCGCATGCGCAGCTCTAGATACCAGAAGATTTGAACTGGGCATCTGTGTGCAGGATTTTTATAAATATTTTATATCTAGATAACATAGTTAATTCATTCTAAATTTATAGTTTATCTGTATGGTCGGATCGGATGCGCGTGACTGGATGATGAACGGTGTCGTGGTCATTCTCAAGTGTCGTGTTGCTGTTGTATCGGTTAGATCAGCGTAGCACTCAATACGTCCCGTGGTAATTCGGGACAGTTGGCAACCCTATATGGGGGTCATTTTTGACCAAAGACCAAAATCGTGACTTAGCATGCTCGGATCACGAACTCATTTTTTTTATGTGTTCACATACCTAATGCCAGAAATGTCACCAAGTTTCGTAACATTCAGATGAAGCTGTGATTTTTAAAAATTCAAAACAGATTTTTTGTAGTCTGAATTTATTGGAGTGTATGTGTATAAAAGTGTGTTTGTATGTGTGTGTGTGTGGGTGTCAATTTTTTGCACTCTTGATGTTGTAGAGTGTCACCCCTTTACTGCGGTATACTTCTTTTAAGAATCGTGGCTGATTTGTAGATTGTACAGAGAATTTTTGTTTTTTTGTAAATTTTCCGTTCATTTCCTATGGGTCGGTCATTTCTGACCGAAGACCATGAGTGTGACTATTTTTTTTATGACCACTTAGCATGCTCGGATCATGACCTCAATTTTTTTTGTATTCACAAACCAAATGCCAAAAAAGTCACCAAGTATCATAACCTTCCGATGAAGCTGTGATTTTTAATAATTCAAAACAGAAAATTATTCGGTCAGAAGTGACCGAGGACCAGCAGAGGGTTAATCATCAAGATGCACATTTACCAACTTCATTGACAAAAAAAAAACTTTAACAGAAGTGAAACATTTATGCACTTAAGCTTGTGTTTCTTTATTGCAGATGCTTATGGAAAGACATCAATGACTCTAGAGACATTGCGTCAATGTATTTCTAGAGGTGAAGTGTTGATATCCGATGACACTCACTTCAAGCTGATCCAATCAAGAGCAATTCATTTTCTAGGCACTTGCATTGCTCCCAATGCAGGCAAGAACGGTCGGATGTCTCCACGGCTCTCTCGACTCTTCACCACGTTGTCTCTCCCAAGCATGACTTCTGAAATCCTGTTTTCTATTCATTCCTCGAAATTGCAAACATGGCTGAAAGAAATACAACCCATGCAGAGGGTTGCAGATATAGCAAACGACATCATAACCTCAACTCTTGACATGTATTTTTCCGTGCGTACATGTTTTAATGCTACGTCACATAGTCCAAACTTCATCTTTTCTTTCCATGATATTCATAAAGTGTTTCAAGGGATGTACCTTTGGAGGCCAAGGCTTGGTGTCCAGCAGGCTCTTCAGAGCAGTGTGGGTTTTAGGAGTTTCTCTTCAGCTGAGAAAAATCTTTTTCCATCTGTTGTTGGTCATGTAGCTGTTGATCTCCACATTGCCCGTCTGTGGATGCATGAGTGCTTGCGCACTTTTGGTGATCGCCTAGCTTCAGGGGAGGCATGTGGAAAATTTATCTCAATTTTAGCTGAAGTTTCTGAGAAGAATTTTGGCACGAGATTGTCAGCTGATTCCCAAACACCTTCAGAAGATACATCAAGCCCTACAGATCAATCATCTGTGTCAAACAAACATAGTGGAAGCCAGCAATGGGATTCAACCCCTTCCCAGTTGGAAGAGAATGTGATTCCTTTGCTTGGAAGTACAGAAGTTCAGACAGAGAGGGAAGAGAGCTATGTTGTAGACAGCTTGTTTAGCCCAGGAATTGGTGAGGATGGATCCTCATTCAGTGGAGATGGACATGTTGAGAGAGAACCAGGAACATCCGAGAGTAAATCTGAATCTGCAACTGAATCCTCGAGTTGTTCATTTCAAATGATGTTTTCTTCTAATTCTGAATCTGGTGAAAACATAAATCAAAAACCAGCTGCACGTGACGAGTTTCTGCAGCTTCTACAGGAAACAACTTCTTCCATCCAGAATGTGATCTTCAGTCCAGAACTTTGTGAGCCATTGAACGACATTCTTCGGCATCATCATTTTAAACGCAACTGTGTGTATCTGGAAAGAGATGTAGATATGTTGATGGACCAACTGGTTCATACTATTGAAAGCAGAGAGGAAAATAAAATGCATGACACTTATTACAGTCCTAAATGGGCTGTGCATCACCAGAACATACATCAGCTTGTGCATGTCATCCGAGCTTTTCTTATTCCTGGTGGACACGGAGCTCTGTTTGGAGCAACAAAGAAAGCAGGCAGAAAGACAACTGTTCGTCTAGCAGCTGCTCTGACAGGATACCAACTAATTGAGGTTCATCCTGGAAATGAGACCAAGTTGTGGGAAATGATGAAAGAGGTTTGGATCGGAACTGGGGTGGATGCCGGATATTTGGTTTTACTAGTTCATGAGAACACCAGCCAGGCTGTTAAGGATGAACTGCTGGTAATGATGGCGAATGGAATCTTGCCTGGACTGTTTTCAGATGAAGAACTGAAGAATGTGAAGCTAAGGATGAAAACATGGAGTCATTTGAGGGGTGACCAAGCTCTTGAAATGTAGGGTATAAGTATCATTGCAAAACATTTATTTGAGTTACTGATTTCGTATGATTTTGTATCTCATTATTGAAATATTTTTGCATTTTTATACTTGGATTTCTTGTTATTTTGAAGCAGATCAAGACATTGAAAGAACAGATGTGCCAATATTAAAATTCATGAAGATACTGATAAATGAATACTTATTTTAATATGTGAAATGAACAAGCACAATTCAACATTCAGTATCAAGCGATACCGAACAATTAATTCTTTAATAGTCGCTGATAGTACTGATATTGTGCGTTTTTTATTCCTAATTGAAAGTAAAGTTATTGTAATATGACTTAAATATATAAAAGGTATATATAAATATATATAAAGTTATTTTAATATGACTTAAATATGACCTTTTTTGCAGGTATTTTAAAAACATCCAAAGAAATACGCACGTATTCCTTCTTTATCCTCTCCTCACGGACAATCATGAAAGACAAACCGGAAAATCTTCAGATTTGGAGACGCATGTCAACAAGGCTGTGAGTCTCTGCTGTTGTGTAGAAGTGTATCAACCTTGGACCTTGAAGTCTTTCGCTGAAAGTGCCTTGTATCATTTAAAAGCCAGTGAGCAGATACCAGAGACAGAAAGTACAGGTGAATCTATTGAATATAATCATATTTCTAATTTTAACAAATGGATAATTTTGTGTTTTTTAAAAAAAGACTTTGTGTTTTTTTGTTGTTTTTTTTCATTTCTAGTTGCCAAGGATAGCTTAGCTTATAGTATTTCTAAGGCGATGGCAGGAATACATCTATCGGCTACAGAATACGCTGTCACACTGCTTCATTTTCAACCGTTTGGCCCTCAGTCCTACATAGAGCTGATGGATCGCTTCTTCTTTCTCTGCCGGCACCTCTTTGAGCAAAGCGGAGTTCAGTACAACCGGTGAGAGGACTGCTAGTACAACTATTGTTTCTAAACACATACTGTACACTAACGTTCAAAAGTGTGGGGTCAGTTCATTTTTCTTCAGCAAGGCTGCGTTAGATTGATCAAATGTGACAGTAAATACATTTATAATATTTCACATAAATGCTGTTCTATTTATAAATTAATCCTGGAAAAAAAATGTATAATGGTTTCCACCAAAATATTAGCTCAACTTTTTTCAACTATGATAATGGTAAAATAAGAATAACCACAGTAAAAATAGCACTAAAGACTGGAGTAATGTCTTTTAAAATACATTAAAATGTTATATTTCACAATATTTCTATTTTTTTATTAAATAAATGCAGCCTTGACCATAAGAGACTTATTTTAAACCATTATTAAACTTTTTAACATTATATGCATGTATGACATGTTTGAAAAAAAAAATGATTGTGTTTGTTTCTTGTTTTTTTATTCACTTATTAGGTTGGCAAAAGTGCTAGCAGATGTGAAGGTCATGACCGACACAGCTGCAAGGGACACTCAGGACGTTCTGAGCTTTAGAGCCAAATGTGACGCAAAACAGAAGGTACATATCAGCAGCAAAGGTTGAATGGAGAAGCAGTAGGATATAGTTGTAAATGATGTTCAAAAAGTGATTTACTTTGTTCAGGCTCTCGAAGAAAATGGAGCAGTGGTTGGAGCAAAATTTTGTGTCAATAGCTCAGATCAAAAATAATCCCAAAGTCCTTTTTTTCCACTATTGTAAACTATGTATTCATGTATCATTGCAGTGTCTAGACCAGCTGGAGAGATCGGTGGATGCGTCACAAAAAACCTGGAAACAAACCCATCACCAAAGTTTGTGGGAAGAAAAGTTGCTTTCCAATCTAGAGAATGAGTCACATCGAGTTCAGCAACAAGTTCAAGATGCCTTTAAACAGGTCTGGTTTGATTATAATGATCACACATTGGACACACTGAAATGGGTTTTTCACTGTTTCTGGTTGTGCGCAGGTGAGTCCACTGTACAGAGCGGCTGTGGATGCACTGCAGTCTTTGAGCCAGTCTGACTTGGATGAGATGCGGCACTACAGGATGCCGCCTGATGGAGTCGTCATGGTCATGGACATTATATGCATGTTATTCAACCGTCCATGTGGCTGGGACAGTAGCAGACAACTTTTGGTGCAATCCAGCTTCTTTCAGGTAAAAATAATCTCTTACTGAACCCTTTGAAGCAACACTTGCTATGAGATTTGTACTATTTCCCTCTTGTGCTTCCAACAGGATCTGGAATTTTTCGACTGCTCTAAATTAACAGATGAAATGATTCAAAAGTTGGGTCATATTACACAGGCACCAGCCTTTCAGCCAAGCTCTGTGCGACATGTGAGCCGAGCTTGTGAATCTTTGTGTCGCTGGGTGACAGCAGTATACAAGTATGCTTGCGTACAGCGCCACATGGCACCACAAAAAGCTAAAAAGTGCAATTTAGATGAGCTCATGGCTGAGACTCTAGCGCGCTTGAGGGTTACGAGGCTACAGGAGGAGTCAGAGCGGGAAAGACTAGTTGAATTGGTGAGACAACAGGAGCTCAACAGACGAGACATGGAGTTGCTGAAGGCCCAGCTTAGTACCGCAGAGGCTCAAGAGAGAGAGTCGTGTGCTGCTCTCAAACTGGTTGAACATCACATTAAATATTGGACATCAGAAGGAAAGGTAGCTAAAGTTGTCGATGGGTATTTGAATTTTTCAAGCAATGTGCATATTGATCAAATGAAACTAGACAAGACATTATTTGACTCAATGTTTTGGTCTATTACAGGAAGCAGAGTCGGCTAAACAGTGCATTGCAGGTGACGCCCTGATTTTGGCAGCTGCTGTTACTTACTTGGGTCCGTTCGGGCCTGATGTTCGACAAGAGCTGCTCCAGAAGTGGCACAAACTTTGTCTGACTGGTGAAATTCAAATGAAACCGGAATACCCAAATGCAGCACTTTTCACTGATGCCCCAATCACAACTTGTGAACACTCTGTGGCCATTCCCATCAGTAAGACATTTCAAATTAGTTTAAATCGAATACTTGGACTAGATCTGCATCGCAACCATGGAGATTCCTCTGATCTGGTCCGAAGTGTTCTTCACTGGGGGAACAAAGTTGCTTGGGCTCAGCGCTGCCCTCTACTAGCAGATCATCATAAAGATGAGGAACCTCAGACGTGGTCTCCTCCTGGTCAGTGTGAAAATCTGTCTTTTTTTATATATATGTCTTACTACTTAGATATATCTTTCAGTTATAGTGAAATTTCTTTTTAGGTCGATATACAAGAGGTGAAGAAAAAGGTTATAAGGAGGATAAATATGGACTTATAGTTTCTGCTGATGATCCAGAGTTACTTGATAAATTAAATCACGGAGCAAAAAAAGGTCAGTCTTCTTCGTTTTGATCTTCAGTTTAATTTTAAAATCTACACTGTGAATAATTTTAATCTCACCTTTGCTTTCATGCACTGCAGGTCTAAGAGTGTTGGTGACACATATTGAAAGAGCAATATCAAACCTACAAATCCTTCAGGAGTTTGTTACACCAGCCAGTTCTCCTGGTCAAAGCCACTCAGTTAGAACTGCTTATCCTGACTTTCAACTTGTAATGAGCTCTTCCCTTCCAGTTCGAACTCTGATACATGGTGAGTGAATAAGGATGTGTTATATCATGTTGTTTAGGACAGGATACTCCTAAACAATGTATGATCCTTTTAGAAATCTCTAAAGCAGGAATTTTCCAAAAAGTTTCTTATCATGAACCCATAAATATGATGATTGTAAGATCCTAAAAAATAAAGGCATCTATGTACATTTTCATTTATCTCCATCTTTAAAAAAAAATTATATTATATTATATTATATTTGGTAACATTTTCTTTTGAATATTCTGTTGACTACATGTCAACTAACTGTCATTGGAGTATTAGTAGTATGTTTACTATCTGCTAATTCTATTGTGATGCTCTCCCAACAGATATTCTACAGAGTATAAGAAACTTTGCAACTGCATGTCAACTTATTGTTAACCCTAACCCTACCAGTCTACTAATACTCTTGTACACTCTAATGAGAGTTAGTAGACATGTAGGTGCAATGTTACTTATAGTCAAGAGAATGTTTTAATGAGACCATTCAAATAACGTGAAACCTTATATTATATCAATTATGTTATATTATTTAAATAATTGAAAAGGAACATATTTAGATTAAATCAGAATTATTTGTGTAGTGTTTTCACAATAAATATAGCCCAAAAATCAATACTACCGAGAATATTGCTTTTCATACCATAGTTGTTGTTTTTTAAAAAAAAATTAAGTAACTAGTATTCTAAATAGAATAAATTGATATTAAAGGGATAGTTCACTTTGAAATTAATTTTTGATATGTTTTAGCTTACCTCAAGGGCATCCAAGATGTAGGTGTCTTTGTTCCCACAGTATTTTCAATTTTGATATTTTTAGGTCAAACTTTTCTTTCATATAATGGAGGTCTATGGGGTCCTCCTCAAAGAGCATGCACAGAGAAGTCCAAATTAAACATGATTTAATGACTCGTAAATGTAAGTACAAATTGATGGCCTAAGACACGAAACAAGCGGTTTTTACCTCTTGTAATCACAGTCACGTCCAAGTACTCTAAGGGCGAGGGCACTTCTGTCTGCGCAAGCGCCAGCAAGCGTCGGAAAGCCCCGGAAGTGATCTCTCGCGTGTGTACATCACTCATTGTTTACACAGAGATTTCCCTTTACTGTGAAGATCTAAACATATTTAGATATACAGGAAATTGCAATGGAAGACGATTTCGATATATTATCAACAGACAACGCGCAAGAGATCACTTCCGGCGCTTGCGCAGACCGAATCGCCCGTGCCTTCAGATCACTTGGACGTGGCTGTGGTTACAAGAGGTAAAAACGATATAAATACTGTTCGTTTTCTCACACAAACCGCTCGTTTCGTGTCCTTAAATACGAGTACGAGTACTCGTACGAGTCATTAAATCAAGTTTAATTTGGACTTCTCTGTGCATGCTCTTTGAGGTGGACCCCATAGACCTCCATTATATGACTGACAGACAAGAACGGTTTGACCTAAAAATATCAAAATTGAAAATACTGTGGAAACAAACACACTTACATCTTGGATGCCCTTGAGGTAAGCTAAAATATATAATATAAAATATATCTTAAGTGAAAATGTTAACTGACAACCCTAACAAAAAAAAAAAAAAGTTTTTTTCCCCTGATTCACATATTTACATAGACCCCCAGCACCTATTTGGGTTTCAGATGAGCATGAAAACCCCTGCTGATGTTGCCTTTTAATCAACTCTTTTCCACATTTTCTGCTAGAAATTCACCCTTCTTTTCTGGAGGAGGTTCAAATGATTGATCTTTCTCCAAGCACATCTGAAGTCCGGGACATTATTTTGACAGAACTGATGCAGACCGAGTGTTCAGAACTGTGGAAACAACATCAGCAAATACAGACAAAAAAACAGATGCTTCAGTATAAACTTTTTCAAAACAAGGTTGGCTGTTCAAGAAGTTTAGATCTTTTTTGGAAAGCTAAGCTTTATGAAATATTCTTAACTTCAATTTTATTATGATCGCAGATTTCCTTGATGGAGTATGTCATGCATGCATCTGCACCACTTCTCCAGGACCCTGAGTTCCTTCCACATGTCTATACATGTCAGAGTGTCTCTATTGAACTTGAGACAGAAATCAAGGAGCTATCTCAAGAGATAGATCAGCACAAACCCCTGATGGATGATTTTTATCAAATAGCAGAGCTCACCTTATCCCTTTACAATGCTCTTCAGGACGTGGCCCGACTTTCACCATGTTATCTTTTCACTCTTCACGGATTCCTGCACACGTTACGGTCAGCTTTAGCTCTGGAGAGCCCAGACGTGAGGTTTCACCGAGAGATAGTGCCCAGAGCTGTCATATCAGAGATTACCTACAGGATTGTGACTCATGTCTTTTCTCAGTATAAACCCCGCTTGTTCCAGACCCATTCGGCTTTATACAGATTACTGGTATCTGTTGCCGTTATTGTGCACAATGAGGGCTGCCCTGAAGTAGAACGACTCACTTTCCTCAAAGGATTAAGCAATTGGAAATGTTTTTTATCACCATCCACACACTCTATCCCAAAGCTGCCAAGCTGGATTCAAACACACTCTCGTGATGATGTCTATCTATTAGAGATGATTGCACCCTTCAGGGGTCTCGTGTCATCTCTGGTAAATTCGTCCAATCTATGGCGGGAATACATGCGGTTTCCCTCCTCCACAGTGATTGGACCAGTACCTTGTCAGTCTCACTCTCATTTGTCCACAATGCAGCGGGCTATTCTCTGGAAGACGCTGTGTCCTCATTGGCTAGCAGCTGTGGAAGAGGACCTTACAACCTGTGCGCAAGGACATATGCTGCATTCATTTGCTGAAGACCCTCCAATGGGCTCTGTGGAAATGATCTCCAACCTTTTGTCCAAGCATGAAGGTCCTGTAGTTGTACATTTACCAGATAAAAATGAAGTGCCTGTAAGCGTCGACCCTCTCCACTTGATTAAACAAGTTGCTCAGTGCCAAGCAGACAACAAAGGGGTAAGTTATTTGAAATGAAAGGGAAATAAAATAACCATTTGATGAAAAACTTAACTGAAACTAAAATTAGAAATTTTGAAAATGCCTTGGCAACAAACGGAAGTGAAATAAGTACTAAAATGACTAAATAAAATAAATGAATAATGTAACAAAAACTATTTAAAAATGTAACTTAATGTAAAACTACAGAAGACACCCCTAAAAATAACACTGATTAGTGGAAATAAAAATGGATGGTGTAGTGGTTTAGGATCATGTCTGATAGCTAAAAGGTTGCTGGTTCGATTCCTTCAAGGAGCCTCCATTGGGTCCTTGAGCGGGGAACTTACACCAGAGGGATTGTCAATCTAATAAGGTCATGGCACTGTTCTATGAATGTCGTGGAAACAAATTTCACTGGTGTAGCCATGTAGAAATAAATGAGATTTATTTTTAAAAGTCAGAGCTTTGGCCTAGTGGTTAGTACATGCGTTCTGTGCTGCTCAATCCAACTTGTGACATTTCCCCTCCTCTCCTCATCAGTTCATGATCTTTCTCTCTCCCCATTCGTTTCTACAGTCAATCCAAACAATTCTCATTGCTTAACCGCTCCATTCCGTGCCATATGGTTTCATTATCCACTGTGGGGCTGAAACGAAGCTTTTTTAGAATGTAATACAAATGCGTCAGTTGTTGCCTTGAGAGTTGCCGCATGAGTTTACAGACGTTATGAGATGTAAATAGACCTTATTCACAGCAGCACCACCTTTGAACGAAAGCGAGGCTGTGAGGGATAGACATCCGTCTCTTTAGTGGGTTGTATTTAAAGGGGACATGAACTGGCTTTTTAAATTTTATTATATTGTGGTCTGAGGTCAACTTACGACGTTCGCTTGGTTTTTGCATTCAAAAACATCAAAATGAATAAGTAATAGGCTATTTTGTACCCTATTTGTGAGCCTAGCTGAAAAATGCACGGTTTTTATGGGCGTCTCGCACTGAAGACTTAGAAGTAAACGCCCACTGCTGTGAGTGGATAACAGTTTTGCATATTATAATGAGTTTCAACTCACTCGTCGGTGCACGTGGGGGATATTATTTTGAAAATGTCCAATGTTAACCGGAATGATTTGCCCATACATGTTCGACCCAGAGTCCGTGTGTTGCACAATTCCTGTCAGATCCAATATAGACGGCACAGCACCGTTCTTTACTCTTAATCAGTCTGCAAATCCAGTCTTGTTTACAAAACAATCCTCAGTGAAATGAAGCGAACAGATGACAATGTTTTACCCTCATCAGCTGGAACGTCATTAAAAATAAAGTTGATCCATGCAGTCCTATTGGAATCCAGAGGAAGCATATGCAGCCACTGTCTTCCACAAACAGGCACTGCACAATATTCTGTATTGCTCGGTAGCTCGATCCCTATGTTATTTAGCTATGCGTGTCATGCGGGAATCGGTGGGCAGGGCTTAACCGGCCATGTTGAAGTAGGCGTTGATCTTCTGCGGCTCTTTGACGTCATAGTTCCCCACTTTGAAAAACGAGTCGTTTGCTGAGGCTGGTGTCAATAAAAGCTTTTATTGAACTAACAAGGATGTTTTCAGTTCTGAAACTTACAGGATATTCTTATAATATGATGACCTCTTAGATGTCAAAAGCTCAAGGAAAATTTGATTTCTCAGTTCATCACCCCTTTAATGTTTTTGGATTGTTCTGCTGAAGGAACACTGCAAAATATCTTTCCAAGAAATTAAAAAAAACTTAAAAAAAAACTCCAGACAACATGAACTGAGTAAAATTAAAAGTGATCTAAAAGCTTTATATAACTTTTTACAGTGGATACCATTGAAAACAAGGTAAGCTCCCTCACAGCCTCGCTTTCATACAGTACCTGTCATGGCGCTGCTCTGAATAAGGTCTATAGCTACTGCGTTATGGAGGAAGAGCAGTTATTTATTTTAATATTATTATTAACTTGTGTCTATTTTGATCGAATAATACACTCGGCCAGTTACAGAGAAACTGGTAGCCAGGCAACAGACAAGTGACCAATCCTGCTACGGTTAGCCAACCATGCTGAGTATTACGGGTTTGAAATCATGCCTTGCCGAACCAAGCTCAAATAGAAAAATAACTGGAATTGTTCCTTGCTGTTCTTAGGTGGAAAAATGGCTCATGAAAAATATATATCTTCAGGTTATCATGGCCACACATGCTATTATACAAAAAGGGGTGATCATTATTTTATAATGAATTTAGCTATGCCTTTAAATGATGTAGCAGCCTGTCATTATTTTCAACAGGTGAAGCTGAGTGTTATTTCTTTTGGATCTGGTTGTCATCGAGATGCCGTTCTTTTGGCACTGGACAGCGCTGTCCAAAATGGCCACTGGTTGGTACTGAACAACTGTCATCTGCTGGACTGTTGGGATGTCAGAGTTTTGAACAAGTTAACACAAGTAGTGTCCTGCACTACAAAAGGTGACACTAATAACCATAAAAACTACACCTACAAACTATACAGACTTCATTATCTCATTGTAAACCACTTGGGCATTTGACAGATTTGGAGACAGATGGTGGGCTTCTTCCAAGCGGTGGAAGTGCAGAAAAACCTGTGCATCCCCAGTTCAGACTGTGGCTCATAACTAAAGGTGACAGACCTCACTCAGTCCCAGGTAGGCATTACACATCATAATCAGTAAAATGTCTGCACCATGGTGTAATGAAAAGGTCGACATAAAATAAAACTAACCATATTTATTTTCTTAAAGGCACAGTATGTAAGATTATTAGATTAAAATATTCAAAAATCACTTGAACTACAGTATGTTATATTGACCCTTTTGCACGATGTAAGCAACACCGGTCCAGAAACAGTTTCAGTTTGTAACTGTTTTCTTTATTTTACATGTAAAGAAAACATCTTAAAGATGTTTGTTTAACTTTTTGATTCAATTTTATATGTTCTGTTGGTTGCATTTTATCCCAGCTTTTATGTTGTGTTAAAAAACTGAAACAGGAAGTGCTTCTGGACCAGTGTTGTTTACATCTCGCAAAATGGTCTATATTATGACTTGTGTACTTACTTGTGTAAAGCAGTGGCATAGCTTTGCTAGATATCGGTTCTATACTGATGTCCAGCAATCATTTTGAATTGTACATTGTGTTTAATTTGTGTTTAATTAAAACCGATTATGTTTATCAGTGGTTGTATATCACATATCAAGCAGGGACACTTTGTGTGCATTTTACTTTATGATTTCACCGGAACGAATAGTGTCTCTGCAACGGATTAAAGCATGCGTCCTTGTGAAGACTGTGCGCGGCAGCGCGAGCCACAAGAGAACACAGTATCCGCGCCACTGATCGCAGAATCAACGAGCAGTTTGATCACTTGGTTTAAAAAAAAAAACGCATTTCAGTGCTAGATCGCCTCTTATTTAACAAACGAACAAATAGAGATGTTTTATTTATTTGTATTATTTACATCCGTACCGCGAGATGTTTCAAAAGTGGTATGGACAATATCGATCCTCGCAAAAAAATGGTGGGGACATGTCCCACCCGCCCCACCCACAAATTACACCTATGTACAGTATCCCAAACATTTCCAACAGTGTTTAAATCCATAGATATAAGGAATTTTAACCAGGACACAGACTGTGTTTGTGCGTCGCTTACTTTCGTTTTACACACTTTAATATATTGTGTTTTATTAGCAGGTGAGCAACTGTTTGGATACATTTATCAACATTTATCATTGTTATATAGTCTTATTGTGTGAATTTGTTTTCTTGATTTACCTCGAGTACCATGTTTTTACCACGCCTCAGAGACAGTTTTGTCAAGTGGCTAACATAGCGCAATCAGTGAGATCATGTTTTCATTAGTATTCGCTCCTGCAACCTCATTCATATTTAAAGGGGGGGTTGACTGCTTTTTTTCTTTGCATGATTGTGTTTATGGGGTGCAGTATAACATGTATTCATGGTTTTTCTTTTTTTAAAGGTCTTATTTTTCATAAACTTCACCTTTATTGTCAGCCGCGCTCTCCTCTGTCTCGAACGAGCGGTTCACTTCCTGAGTCTATGAAACCACTCCCTCTGAAAAAGGCAGTGGGCTCAGATTGGTTAGTTTGGGCCAGTGTTTTGTGATTGGCTAAATTGTCACTCACGTTGTCCAGAAGGTTAACGCCCATTACCTTTACGGGCGTAACTTGCATGTCATGAGCATGTCCAGATGTAAATAATGGTGTCGAACTGCAGTATCAGTTTGAGGCAGAATCAGACCGAGAAAGCGGCGATGAAGAGAGTCAAGCAGAACCTCACCACACATGGCTCTTACTAAACGTTTCTGAATGATAATTTGCTACATTTTTTTTAACTTTATACACGTTTGTTTTACACAATAGCATCTGACTGGCAACAATAGCAACTGACTGGCTACTAATGTTATACTTAAACAGCGTTGGCAAGTTTACGTTCTTGATCAAATCAAAAATAACGTCATAAAACACATATACATAAAAATACATTTACAACATAGTACTTATACAAAATTCAGGTCCATAATGTTTGTGCGCGTTTGTCATAGACACAAAATAGCATAACTAGTAGCCTAGTGGCTATGAAGCCAGCGCTGGCATTTGAAAAAAAATTAAACACAAGGGCTACGTCTGGAATTATACATGCAAATAAATTTAAAATGATGAAGTCTTAGCCTACTTACAGGTTGTGGCCCAACAACTGCTGCCTCTTGTTTTAAAGTTGGAACTGCTTCATGTTTTAGTAATAGTTTCTTGTTGAATCCGGTGTTGAACTCGTGGAGATTCTGGAAGCTGTCTTCCGTAAAATGCGCAGCACAGAGAGCTAGATTACGATCGTCATTTTCAGGAACATAATTAAACATAAATTGTATCCATTGTTGACGAAGTACAGCGTCCGTGGGAAGCTCGAACACAGAAGACGTGACAGTTGGGTGAAAATAACACATTCGACGTGCCGCAGAAATATGATCGTGCCCTTTTTTGCATATTGGAGGGTTGATGCAAATGTGTGGGTTAGTGACGTCTAAAACCCAGCTGCAGTCCCAATCGAGTCGTTTTTGTAGGCAATATCCTTCCTGATTTTTAAAAGACGATATCTCTGCTTACACTGAACTTTCAGCACGGCAACTTTACAGATTCTGTTCATGCACCGACAGCAACATTACACACTATTTAAAATGAAAAAAGTGAAATCGCAGTCAACCCTCCCTTTAATACATTAGCTCATCCGTGAACATGGCCGAGTACGTTGGATTCCTTTCCATCGGCTGTGGAGTTGAAGATGACAGGTTCCACGAATCCGCGCTTATTAACAGCATCATCAAGCTACGCCTTTGTTTTTATTATATGATGTCATTACAACAGTCTTGACTGAAGCCAATCACTGCATTGCTGACCATGGTTTTGAGTATCGATATACTGTATCTGCCCTTTCCAATGAACACAAGAACATACAGAAATATCACACAACTAAATCCACATATTTTAATCTAATCTGCAAATTTGTTTGAATAACCAAATTAACCAGAGATCAATTATCAAAGAACGGACCCCAAAGAAAACAGAAGAAAAAAAAAGAAGCATGTTTTCCTTTTCAGAGAAAGTAAATGTGTTGATTTTAGTTCTGGAGTCTACAGCATACAAATGCTCTCTGATGTATATAATCTATTATCTGATACAGCTGCTGTTAGGATTAGAGCCCTGCATGTGGTGTGCGATTCCTCCTGGGACCTGAAGGATGAATTGTGGTCCTCAGTAAAACAGACACTCTTCTTCTCTCCTGAAGACACTGTGCACATTCAGTGTGCCATCCTGCACTCTGTCCTGCTGCAGAGACAAGCATTCAAACACCTTGGTCAAGGACAGCTTTATCTTTGGTGAGGATTTGAACTCACATCACTGTACAATACATTATAAATCATTCTAACTCAATCTTTTTTTCCATTCATAGGACTCAGGAAGATCTACTTGCTCTGATTGATGCACATCACCGCGTAACCAAACACTGTAGTGATCCAACTGGAGCATTAGAGTACATAGCAGGTACTGCTTGCATATGAAATGCTTTAAAATTATTTTCTTGGTTCAATACAGATTATGTTGGTTGATCTGTTCTCTCAACAGGTCACCTGGTTTATGGGAGCCACGTGTCAGACCACGTTGATCTAGCAGCTGTGCAGAGTGTGGTTAGGGCATGTCTAAGTCAGCCGTCTACATTATGGGGACGTGGGCAACACATTCTTTCAGATATCAATAACTTTACAGGAAGATTTGGTATGCAAGCACACACTATGACTTCAATTTCCCAAAACTATATAGCAGTGGTTCTTAGCCAGGGGGTCTGGGACCCACTTGGGGGCCTTAGCAAACTTCCAAGTGGTCCCAAATGATTAAAAGAAGAGGACCTATTTATCCTTTTTTACATTTTTAACTTTCTTTAGATTGCAATGTGTGAGCATGAAAAATGTCTAAGCACAAAGTCCATTCGAAAGGGAGTTATACTAGTAAATCCTTGAAACTAGGGCCGTCCATAAGCGGTGCAACTTTAAGGGTCCCTGGCCTGCAGTGGCAAACATGAACATGTAGGCATGCTTCCAAAAGCTAACCCGACCCCACACACACCCCCCTTCATCACCGAGGTAGTCCTCGGTTCCTCTAACTTGCACTGGGCTTTAGTCTACAGTTTTCTTTCGGGAACATACATGTCATAATATCCCTAATTTAAACAATTCCTGCCTAAGGCATACACAAAAAAAAGAGCCGAGGCCTGGTTGAGTTGTTAAAATAATGTGTCGAATCTCGCGGTTATGATAACGGTCGTAACATTTCTGGGGAAAAATATTATTTTGATATTTCTAGATCTGGAAAAGTCATGTAAATTAAAAAATGTGGCTCAACTATACGTTTATCAAGCGACGAGAATACTTTTTGTGCGAAAAAACAAACAAAAATAACGACTTTATTCGACTATTCCTTTTCTTCCTTGTTGGCCTGAAACGAGACTTCAATACGATTTCCACGACGCATGCGCGAGAACTGAACTGAAGTAGTTGAAGGAGATCACAATTCTCGCACATGCGTCGTGGAAACCGTAAGTCTCGTTTCAGGCCAACAAGGAAGAAAAGGAATAGTCGAATAAAGTCGTTCTTTTTGTTTGTTTTTTCGCACAAAAAGTATTCGCGTCGCTTGATAAACATATAGTTGAGCCACGGTAGTCACATGGAATATTTAAACATTTTCTTCATTGACTTTCTGGGCCGTCAAGTGTCATTCCCTTAGGAGCCAATGTGGTAGTTATACAGCTCTCAAATTTAATCAAAAATATCTTCATTTGTGTTCCGAAGACGAACTAAGGTCTTACGGGGTTGGTACAGCATGGGGGTGAGTAATTAATGACTTAATTTTCATTTTTGGGTGAACTAACCCTTTAAATCTAAAAAAAAATTGTTAGGAAATATATATTTTTAAATTCGTATCCTTAATTCTTGTATAATAAATCACAGACCGCTGAACAAGTCATGTAAATTAATTGGCTAAAAAACTGGTTAACATTTATTTGTTTAAATTTAGCTCTTAAATAATACATACTAAACTATATAATTAAACTATTTTATATTCTAATTATGTTATTTGAATTATACTTGTAATTAAGTTACACATTTTCATCTATGGAACTCAAGATTCTGTAAAAAAAAAAAATCGAATATTGTTGTGGACACTCGTGGGGCACATTTCAATGAGAACCACTGTTAGATAGTACTTTTTAAGTTTTCTATAGTAATTAAACTTATTCACTTATTTATCACACACATTTACATATCACACATTTGTATCAACTTATTTCCTTTTTTCCTTCAGAAAATGGGGGCCTATTGAAAGACTTGAGACATCGTATTCAATGTATCACTAGCAGTACGGACCCGTTAATTCTGGGCTTTAGTCCAGGTATGGCAAGTGAACTGGTGAAACTAAAAAGTCATGCCCTCAACATTCAACTGCAGCAGTCACAGAACATCTATGCTGATGTCAGAGGAGACACCAGTCTTGTTTTAAGGCAACCCCAAGTGCTTCTAGATTATAGATCATCTTGGGAAAGATTGCTCTCTTTACAAGACAAGCTGAAGAAAATTCACATTGGCATGGGAATGGAATCTGTTTCTCTTGGTCCGTTGCGTTGTTTCTTCCAGGCAGAGTGGGACCGTCTGGATTCGCTGGTGTCTTCCCTCCTTTTGAACAATTTTCAGCCAGGTAAATATAACATGACAAGCTCCACTGCTGCATATCTAACATCATCAGCTCTCACATGTCTGGAGACTCAAGCAGACCTGCTCAGGTCATACCTGTGGGAGAAGTCATCCAGTGCTGCGCCTCATGTTTATCGACTGGCTGCCTTTCTCAATCCCAGAGGCTTTCTGGTAGCGCTGATCAGAGATGCAGCCCACATCCAAAAGAAGGATATCAGTCTTTACTCTTTGCATTTCAAGGTAAATCTCAGTTTTTCCAAACACAGCCTGAAAAAATAAGCTGGATAAATTCCACAAATAGGGTACAGAATAGAATCTGAAACTCTTTAAAAAGAGCTTGTTGTTGTTTTAACCTAGAGATTGAAATGTTGATTGTTTTAAATATTTATTTATTCATTCATTTTTTATGAGGTTACCCAAAATAAAATAGTAAAATGTATCAAATTAAAATATTAATAAAAAATGCCAGAATCGATAACATGGTAAAAAAAACAGGGTTACGCATTTATCATAAATTAAGCTGTCAAGTTGGGAATAAATTGTTTTTTAATTATTGATACTTATATTTACCATGAATTGAATAAAAATATTTGTTTTATAACTTTTCCTCTCAGTTAAATTTAGTAATAGGGTTGTTACTAAAATACATGATGATGCATAGAGTCAGCACTTCAATTTGTGTAAAAATGGAACAAAATATTATGGAAAATGGCAAAATACAGATATTGGATTTGTTTAAAACGAGCTACTTTTTATGCTATGTTAATTTCACGTTATTTAACATTTTATCAAACATATACTGTACACTCACCAGCCACTTTATTATGTACGGCTTGCTAGTACCTAGTTGGACCCCCTTTTTTTCTTCAGAACTGCCTTAATTCTTCGTGCCTTAGATTCAGCAAGATGCTGGAAACATTCCTCATAGATTTCGGTCCATATTGACATGATGGCATCACACAGTTACTGCAGATTTGTTGGCTCTACATCCATGATGCGGATCTCCCGTTCCGGCACATCCCAAAGATACTCTATTGGATTGAGATCTGGTGACTGTGGAAGCCATTTGAGTTTAGTGGATTCATCATGTTCAAGAAACCAGTTGATGACCACCATGATTTGAACTTTGTGACATGTCACATTATCCTATTGGAAGTAGCCATCAGAAGATGGTACAGTGTGGTCATAAAGGGCTGGACATGGTCAGCAACAATACTCAGATAGGCTGAGTCACTAACACAATATTCAATTTGTACAAAGGAGCCCAAAGTGTACCAAGAAAATATCCCACACACCATTACACCTGATCCTGCAAAAATCTAGACTGATCAGGCAACGTTTTCCAATCTTCTACTGTTCAATTTTGGCGAGTCAGTGCTTGTAGCCTCAGTGTCCTGTTCTTAGCTGACAGGTGTGTCTTCTGCTGCTGTAAGTCATGACATGTTATGCATTCAGAGATGCTCTTCTGCAGACCTAAGCTGTAATAAGTGTTTATTTGAGTTACTGTTGCCTCTCTATCACCTCAATTCAGTCTGGTCATTCTTCTCTGAACTCTGACCATTCTCTGTAAACCCTATAGAAGATGGTTGTGCGTGAAAATCCCAGTAGATCAGCAGTTTCTGAAACACACCAAAAACCATGACAGATATAAAGTCATTCACTGCTGCCTTCACGTGCAATCAGAATTATCTTAAATATGATTTTCATAGAGAAAATGTGGGAATGAATGCCCTCTCAAGTTGTATTTACCATTGGGAACCTCGTGCATAATTTTGATACCAAAATTCCCAAGTTGGCGGAGGGGAGAACGATCCACAACAGCTATTCCCTGGTTTTGCCGTTGAAGTAGTGAATATTTACAATGACTATTTATATGAAGTGTATTGTATGGTTAATACACCATGAAAATAGCATGTATTTGACCTGAATATATATATGGTTGTCAATGAATGGAACACTAAATATAATTTTGGCTTTAATAAGATTTTCCCAATAAATAGACAAGAGTAAACCTGGTGACCTCCATGATTCCTGTTCTTTCTGACAACAATCCCAGCTCTTGAACTTGAACTTATAAATTCAGAAGTGGGAAGTAGGAAGTTTCGATTGCACGTGAAGGCAGCATAAACCATTCTGATGCTCAGTTAGAAGAACTTCAGAAGATCGTCTTGACCATGCCTACATAACTAATCTGGGGTGCGTTTCCCGAAAGCATCGTTAGCCAACTATGGTCGCAAGATCCGTCGTTTTCCAATAGAGTTAAATGGAAATTGCGACCATAGTTGGCTAACGATGCTTTCGGGAAACGCACCCCTGATAATGCATTAAATTGCTGCTATGTGATTAACTGATTAGATATTTGCGTTAACGAGCAGTTGAACAATTGTACCTAATAAAGTGGCGGGTGATTGTACTTTCAAGACTAAAAAACGAACATACATGGAACTTTGCCTCTAACCCTAATACTCCATTCATGGAAAGTGCGATACGATTTACTAAGCTTGTTTCTCCTTTTTTTCCACACAGGTGCTAGATGATACGGGATCACCATCATCTCCACCCCCAAGTGCTATATGTCTGTCTGGACTGGAGCTGCAGGGGGCGCTGTGGGATGCAGGTTCTGGAGTTCTTACAGACACTCACTCCCCTAAACGTTCACCTTTCCCACCCCTCTGGGTCAGTGTTGTAGAAAGCAAACGTGACAGGATCTGTTCCTCTGAAAGCTCACGGTGTAATTCCTCATCCATGTACTACTGCCCCCTGTATGTAGACAGACAAACTGCAAATGAGGGTCAGGGTCTCTCTGATGACAATACAATCACACATGTTCCACTTGCAACAAGGTTAGATCCAATGCTCTGCTCAATGAGACGTGTTCGGTTAACCAGTACTCTTTTACAATAAACCCTGTAAGGTATGGTTTATGCTCTATGAAAAAAAAAAAAAAGTAAAATTTATATTGTAACGTTATAGCAAAATATTTAACTTGCAGATGGGTAAAGAAATGTAATAATCTTTTAGAGAAAATGTGAAAATGTATAGCAGAACTATTGTTCGTAATATCATATATTTTTGTTGGTGTAGTATTTACGTTTTCTGTAATTTTGTTTATGAAATTAACCACGAAATAAAGCAAGAAATTAACAATATACTGTAGTTGGCTTAAACCAAGGTTGCTCACTTTTGGACATTTGTGTAGAGCTCAGTTCAAGTCATCAAATTCAGTTTTCATAACAGCCTTCTACCTCAACACCTTACAGATCTGTGTGGGTGAAAGCCTGTCGAGAAAGTCTCCATGTCTTGTTTCACTCCAAAATAAAAAGGAAACATTAATAAGTGTCGGAATGTTGTACGTCTCCTGTATGTCTCAAATCTCATTTATGCTATAGTTCACATTCAAACCTGATCAAAGTCTTAGTTATTGCAGGTCTTGTGTCCAGTTGGGATTTGTGAATGTATTATTTAGATGACCATATCAGCCAGTGCAACATAAATATTACAACGTGCACCTTTAAAGCTTTACACTAATAGTGAGTCTCATTCATAGTAAACAAGTAAGAAAATGTGTGTTAAAGCTAGAGATGCATGGTTAAAAATAGCATAAAAATGAATATAGCTGGCTAATCATGATTGTGTTTGAACTGGTTTTGAGCATATATCATAGAGAGTAGATGCCCTATTGGCTGCTGGGCACTGAGAAATGCGTCCACCATCTTAAACCGGTCGTATTCCTATTGTGTTGCATAGCAGCAGTAGATGACAGTGCACTGTGCAGCATATTCCTGCTCAAATCAGCAGACTATCGCTCGGGAATTACTTTTCACAAGTAAGATTTAACATTTAACATTACCTGACTAAAGTTTGTATTTTGTGATTAAAAGATCCCATGTGTCCTGTATCATAGCTACATGTATGACCTTTGCAGCAATAAAACCCTGCGTGAAAATCAGTTCGGTATTCAGTGAGCTCATATCACCTGCCAAACAGATTAGACTGAGCGGATTAGATGAGCGGTTTAAGATGGCGGCCCCACGGCTTGTCCGTGCCAATAGGCTGTAGCGGTCGATAGGGAATCTACCTATATGATGTCTATGGGTTTGAGAAGATTCCACACTTAATTTTGCTGACTGAAAATTAACCGGCGAACAAACCACCCCCACTTCCACCACCACCCCCATTTCCTTAAAATCTGAGGTGCGAGCCAAATGTTATAGTCATGGCCGAAGCAGCCCAGAAAAACAAGAAAGCAAAGTTTTCATCGGCGCAAAGCAAAAAGAGAAAAGACAAAGTGATCGCGTTAAAGGCAGAACGAGGATCAACATTGGGCCAGCGTTTTCTCGCTAACGTGAGCTGAAGGAGGAGGAGGGGTGACGAGTGACGACCGATGCGGACTTGGCTATCATACTTTTGGACTAGTAAGTATATTGCTTGCATACTATCTCTTTGTTTTTTGTCTGCCTGACTATGTTACGGAAGCTATCTTATCCTCCGTTTATCTTCATGAATCAAGTAATGATAGTAGAGTAGCGAAGTACAAGTTTGGTAGGGGCTTCATTCTTGCAAGTAAATATATAAGATGTACAAAATCATTTTAGGATACCTAACATGTCTTTGATATTCGTTTATTTTTCTTGCCTCAGCTATAATGCAAATCGATTTGTAAAATTTGCATATTTAGTGATGGTAGCTTGATATTATAATATTGACGATATATGTTTATTATCCACTCAAACATTGGATTGAAGTATCATATAGATTCAGTAAAACAGTAACCAATAGACTAGGCTACTACAATGACGATGGCTTGTTAAACGCTAGCATCGCGATCATTTGTCGTTAGAAAAAAAAAATTAAACCCATGAAATTATATTCATATGACATGCTGAAATATATGCCACTGTACCTGGGATGAAGACATTTAACACGCGACGCAAGCAGAACACCTGCATGTGACCTCCTCCTACAGTGTTCAGGGCTATCATGGTTGTCAACAAATGCGCCTGCATGTAAGATGACAGAGTTTAAGACAGTAGTAGAGGATAATGCTGTTTCCCAACTGTAGGGGGACCCCGAGAGGAAAAGGTGTTACTTTAAAATTGTCACATTTTTAGGGTGAGCAAAAACTCAACGTTTTTGTGTGTGTCCTTTTAAATGCAAATGAGCTGCTGCTCCCGGCACAGAGGGCGGAGCTTCAAGAGCTCACGTGTGTGCAGTTAGCAGTTCCGATTACATCACACAGCAATGCAGTCTTTTGAGTTCAAAGAGTCGAACAAAGATGAAGAAGCACATTAGTCCCTACAAGCCGTTTGTACTTTGAACAAACTGTCTTGAACTTTGAGCACTGTAATTTTGCAGATGTTGTTTACGCTCAAACCACGAACGACGTGCTAAGTGTATGAACGGTGTTCGGGGATCGACTTATCGAGACTATTTTCTAAGATGGCTCCTGCCTGTATACACGAAGTGAACTGTCTTTATAACGTATCTTCTTATTAAACGGTCTGTACACTTACAAAGTTCTCAATGCTTCGTTTTGCATGTAGGGACCCTCATTATGTTACTGTGTTAGTGTGGGGCTATTTTTAGCCTTGTTAGTGGTATAAACTAGCGATTTCTTTTTACTTAGTCAATGCCCCCATTACTAGCATTATACACTAAACAGTTTTAAGAGATAAAACTCTTTACATTCGATTATCATGAAAACAAATCTCAGAGAACGATTGACTAGGTACCGATGTTTTATTAGACCAAAGGTTCATTGTTCGCCGGAGTTCTCACTTAACTTTGAAAGAACCTTTCCAGAACATTAGCCTAAGTTCTGAGAATGAAAGGTTTTGAGGAAAGCCCTTATATGGAGATAGTTTGGACATGTTTTATTTATCAAATTAGTAATCGCTCATATGTACATGTGGCGAATTATTGCTTATAAATGTGCGTATAAGAATAATCCACGTAATTATTGGTGATAACAATGAAGACCCAGCAACTTGAACTTGGTGATAAAGCTCAAGCAGATTTTTCCTACTCATTAAAGTCATCCGTTACTTTCTCGGACACCTGGAGGAGTGGAACAACACCAGACGCTCCCTGAACACTCAACCCCTCCAGGTCGCTCATGTGGAGAGAGTCCTGCCGCTCACCGTGTCCCTGAGCAGATGGAACGAAAGGTAGACTTTCACCTCCTTCATTACACTTCTCCTCCTTTTCCCCTCTCTTTCTCTCTCTTTATCACTCTCTCATTATTTCTTCCAGTTCCTCCTCAGTCTGCTGTTCCTTTCACACTATAGAATGAGTTGTGGCCCCTCTTTTTTCTCCTTTGGGATTCTGCTGTGTTTGCAGGCTGAAGGCTGAGGAGCCGAAGACGACTGAATTCAAAATGATAACAGTCTCTGTGAATGAGAGAAAATAATGAACCACTGCCCTCTTTTTTCACACTGACCTAGCGGATTGTCCTTCGGCACACTAGTCTCACGGGCTATCCCTTTTTTTTTCATGCTGAAAAATGATTATCACACTACATCTATTTGTATTATTAAAGCATTTCGGTAAGAACTGACTCCCAGAATAACAAATATTTGGCTTTTATGTGTTATTTGGTTTCTGTAGCTTTCTACACTTTTCAGTCTCTCTGTGGTAGCACAAGCTTATGTAAGAGACTATGTCACAAATGTATAGAAAACAGCTGAAGACATGTCTAAAATATTTTTTGATTTAAAGTCATTGTGATATAATTAATGATTTATCCATATATATATATATATATATATATATATATTGGGTTGAGATTTGGTGACTGTGGGCGCCATTTTAGTACAGTGAACTCATTGTCATGTTCAAGAAACCAATCTGAAATGATTCGAGCTTTGTGACATGGTGCATTATCCTGCTGGAAGTAGCCATCAGACGATGGGTACATGGTGGCCATAAAGGGATGGACATGGTCAGAAACAATGCTCAGGTAGGCTGTGGCATTTAAACGATTCACAATTGGCACTAAGGGGCCTAAAGTGTGCCAAGAAAATATCCCCCACACCATTACACCACCACCACCAGTCTGCACAGTCGTAACAAGGCATGATGGATTCATGTTCTCATTCTGTTTAGGCCAATTCTGACTCTACCATCTGAATGTCTCAACAGAAATCGAGACTCATCAGACCAGGCAACATTTTCAGACCAGGCAACAGACAGGCGTCTTCAACTGTCCAATTTTGGTGATTTCTTCCAAATTCTTGCCTCTTTTTTCTATTTGTAGTGGAGATGAGTGGTACCCGGTGGGGTCTTCAGCTGTTGTAGCCCATCCGCCTCAAGGTTGTGTGTGTTGTGGCTTCACAAATGCTTTGCTGCATACCTCGGTTGTAAAGAGTGGTTATTTCAGTCAAAGTTGCTCTTCTATCAGCTCGAATCAGTCGGCCCATTCACCTCTGACCTCTAGCATCAACAAGGCATTTTCGCCCACAGGACTGCCGCATACTGGATGTTTTTCCATTTTCACACCATTCTTTGTAAACCCTAGAAATGGTTGTGCGTGAGATCACAGCAATAGCAATTCACAAGATCCAATCAATTATAGACAAAATCAAGTCTAAAATTAGAATAATTAAAATTACAATCAGTGTGTCCCAAATCGTAGTATGTTGAAATTATTATTCCAAAGATACCCGGATGCTCTACTTTTTCCAGTTAGAATCAGAAGTGCAGATCCGTGCGCACTCAAATGGCTTATACTGGGATGAAAGCTGAAAATAGCTGCCTTTGGAGGTATGAAGGCACGTCCAAATCCTATGTTAGCTTCACTTCCTGTCTTCTGAGGGTGTACTCACACTAGTCAGTTTGAACCGTGCCCGAGCGCGTTTGACCACCAAAGCGCGGTTCGTTTGACTAGTGTGAGTGCTCCGAACCGTGCCCGGGCGCAGCTCGATTAGCCGGCCCTGGCCCACTTGGAAGAGGTGGGCCAGAGCACGGTTCAGTTGGACTCGGGCGCGGTTCGCATGCAGTGTGAGCGCTAACCGTGCTGGAGCACGGAACAGGACGCGTTAAGTTATGGTTTTAGGAACTGTAGTCCGTAATCAAAGCTGCAAAAGTCCTTGCTGCACTTCAGCTGGTACCTTGCAAACCTCCTCATACGAGCAGCACGATTACGTGAAAATTTTCGCGCCACTAAGGTAAAACATCTGTTTAACAACAGGCTGTGAGAGGGCTGTGGACCACCGTGGACCAAACGACACAAAATTATCCACAAATAAAACTCCATAGTGTTCAGAGAGCGCCGCTCTTCTTGTTTATCCCGAAACCATAATGATGACGTAAGCGTGCTCCGGCACGAATGCTGAAACCCTATGTGAGTGCAGGCCAGAGGGGGAGTGGGGAGGGGGGACAATCGTACTCGGGCCCGGTTCATGGCAACCGTGCCTAGTGTGAGTACACCCTGAGATACCTTCATCTGATTGATTATTGATTGGCAGCATAAATGTATCCGTCACTGCCTATGATATCCCACTGTGTTCCATTCTGTACAGTTAAACTAAAAATATATAAAAAATCTGGCATCTGAACATTGCTGTTGGATTTCAGATTGTGTAAATCCGTATTTTTCTTTATTTTCTGCCCACTTTTGATGTTATTTCTATCGATAAATTACTGTTGTAGTAATTGAATATTCTCTTCGTTTTCACCAAAGCTCACTTATTTGATCCTGTGTGCTGCCTCGAGCCTGTCAGAAATCACTTTCACGAGGCACCTTCATCATACGCAAACCCTGCCTCCGAAGACAATTTATTACCTGATAAGTCCGCTGCAGCTTTCAGACGCATCCATCACAACTTCCATTTCATGCCGACCTTAATACTATTTTTATTTATTTATTTATTTAGCTTTACGCTGATAAAAAATAACATAGTATGAAGTAATGAAAGAGTGCAAACAAATCTGTTTTCCATAACAAAATACACTTTCAAAAACCTATATTGATTTATATTTTAGAGCTGTCGGGACAGATTTAGTAGAAAAAACGAATAGCCTAGAGTAGGCTACTTCATTCGCCATGTACAGACTAAACAATATTCTTCTGCAAGACACGAAGGTCAAAAGTTACAGAGTGTAGCCTTCACTAATTTCCTGTTCTCACTTTTCTCTAATTAATGCATTTAGTTTAAGCAAACTAGCAAAATAATGTTCTATAATTAAGCATAAATTTGCAAAAATGTATGCCCTTCTTTAACTTATGAACCTGTCACAGTAGTGTGGTTGGCTCTTCTATGATAAATTGCTTTTGATATATCATTCGTATACCATATTTTTTAAACATCTTCTAAATATGGTCACATTTTAAAATGTTTCTATGACCTTGTTGTGGACCAGCAGTGCCATTCTTTTAATTAGCAAAACCTATAACCAGTGAATTTTGGCCAAGCTAAAGGTCAGACACCAGCACACCCTCATCCAAAACATGACAGAGAGCAGACTGGTCTTTTCTGCTGGTCTTTTTTCCCCTTTTGAAATTGAGGATTATCCAGTCCAGTCCTGTTACAAGTAGTGATCTCCTAGAATCAGATCTGAGAGGTTATTCCCGAAATGCATTATAAGTAACAACTTCTCTGCATTTATTGCCACATATTTAAGTTATTTCATGAAATGAAAATAAAATCATTACATTTTATTTTATACCAAATATATACAATTATTTGAAATACTCTGCAGAATATTTAGATTTGGCTGGTTGACATTTGTTTAAAGGTGTGGTTGATTGCGATTTCACTTTTTTCATTCTAAATAGTGTGTAATGTTGCTGTTTGTGCATGAACAGTATCTGCAAAGTTGCAGCACTGAAAGTTCAATGTTAGCAGAGATATCGTTTTTAAAAATCAGGTTTAATGCCAATAAAAACGACTCAAATGGGACTACAGCGGGTTTTATACATAACTAACCCACACATTTACATCAACCCTCCCTCCGGAATATGCAAAAAAAGGGCATGGCCATATTTCTGCGGCTCATCGAAAGTGTGTTATTTTCACCCAGCTGTCAGGTCTTCTGTGTTCGAGCTTCCCACGGACGCTGTAGTTCATCAACAATAATGGATATAATTTATGTTTGATTATGTTCCTGAACATTACATTCGTAATTTAGCTCTCTGTGCTGCGCATTTTACGGAAGACGGCTTCCAGAATCTCCACAAATTCAATGCCGGATTCAACAAGAATCTATTACTAAAACATGAAGCAATTTCAACTTTAAAACAAGAGGCAGCAGTTGTAAGTAGGCTAAGACTTCATCATTTTAAATGTATTTGCATGTATAATTTCAGACGTAATGTTTTAGTTTATCAAATGCCAGCGCTGGCTTTATTGCCACTTATTTATGCTATTTCGTGTCTACGACAAACGCATACAAACATTTTGGACCTGAATTTTTTTTTATATACTAATGTTGTAAATGTATTTTTCATGTATATATACTTCATGACGTTATTTTTCGATTTGATCACATAAACCAGAGCCAACGCTGTTTGTGTATATAGCAGCCAGTTAGTTTAATGCAATTTTGTGTAAGACAAATGTGTATAAAGTAAAAATATAGGCAAATTACCATTCAGAAATGTTTTGTAAGAGCCGTGTTTGGGGAAGTTCTGCTTGACTCTCTTCATCGCCGCTTTCTGGGTCTGATTCTGCCTCATACTGAGACTGCAGTGTCGACATGTACATTTGACACGAACACATGCAACTTCGCCCGTAAAGGTAATGGGCGTGAAGTATCCGGACAACATGAGCGACAGTTTAGCCAATCACAACACACCGGCCCAAACTAACCAATCTGAGCCCACATACGTGTTTCTGGGGGAGTGGTTTCAAAGAATCAGGATGTAAACTGAACGTTCAAATGACAGAGGAGAAAGCGGCTTACAATAAAGGTGAAATTGGTGAAAAATAAGACTTTTAGAAAAAAGAAAAACCATGAATACATGTATTGCACCCCATAAACACAATCATGCAAAGAAAAAACCACCCCTTTAAATACGTGTTGCACAAGTTGAGTACTTTGTTATATATTCCTATGTGTGTGTGTGTGTGTGCTATTGAAACAATAAAATATTGATTTCCAAAGACAGACAATGGACTATTTATTATTCCTTTGTGTGTGCAGACAAAGGGATAATAAATAGTACATGTTTCCTTGGTAACCAAAACTTTTTGACAGGTTTCATTTTGTTGTGGATGCTGAAATTCAATATCGGTGCTTTAAGTGCTTGATTGGTGAGGTGATGCTCTTGAAGTGGACGACAGCATTGGTTCACTCTGACAGCCTGAGCTTTCCATCTGCCTTGAGCCACTGATTCAACTCAACCTGTGACCTCTTCTCTTGTAGGTCAACTCATCCACCGCAGGAGAGGAGAGAAGGCTATTATAGCAGATTTTCCCTGACAGGTATTTCGGAAGGTAACAGAGCATGTCTTACTAAACCTGTCATTGGGAAATTGCAGCATTTAATAGCAAAATCTTAAATCCATAAAATACTTGAACAGATTCAAAACACAAATCTCATGCGTTTTTTTATTTGCAATAACTGGACTTCTTTTCGTCTGAAGATATTTCATCACTCGTCCATATGGCTTTTCAATTGGCATCCTAACATTCAGTCACTTGATGTTAAAATACACTATCTTTAACACCATCATTTTTTTTCACTTGCTATAAATAGCCCCTGCAAAACATTTGATTTATTGAAAATAAATAATCTTGCAACATTATTGGACATAAATAGTGTAAGATGGACCCGATTCTTTTGGCATGTTCAGTTTGATATTCATCGTCTGGAATCATTTAAAGCCCTTTGAACAGTTTGCACTGAAACTGTCTTTTTAACCTTGAACCGTTTGGTTCCCATTGAAGTCCATTATGTGGAGAAAAATCCTGGAATGTTTTCATCAAAAACCTTAATTTCTTTTCAACTGAAGAAAGAATGACATGGACATCTTGGATGACATGGAGGTGAGTAAATTATCAGCAAAAGTTTTTTCTAATAGTGAACTACTCCTTTAATGTTGATGTGACTCTTTTTTTTAAGTCTTAAAACTTATATTTGGATTGAAAAGAGCAACCATCACCAAACTTTTTCCTTATTCCACAGATTAAATAAAATGATAGATTTTAAAAGAAATGAGGGTGAGTAAACAAACACAGTTTCATTTGATTTAATTTCATTTTTCATTAACTTCCATTTAACCCAGTCCTAAAACAGTTAAAACAGTCCTTTAAATCTACAGAATCCCACTACTAACTTTCTGTTGCACTCAGAAGCACTGACATTAAACATCACTTAATTTCCATGACAGCGGATGTTTAATGAGGTCACTGAAGTCAAGTGTGATAGACAAGGCCATTACCCACCCACTCGGAGCCAATCAAAGTTCTAGATCATTCCGGCCAGCCACGGTGGGAGGAACAGTCCGACCGTCCCCAGAATGCACACCAGCACAAACATCCAGAGGAATATCCTATCAATCACCATGGCAACATATTTCCAGTCTTCCTTCACCTGGTGGGGGGAAGAAGAGATTCATTCGTTTCAGATATCATGATATATTTTCCACTCATGTATTTCCCTCTCAGAATAGATTTTTTGGATGACTACTTTCCTGTGAGACCTCAGTGTTTTCTGTTTTGTTTTGTTTTTCAGTACAGCAAGAACAGTGATAAAAAAATAATACCAGTATCAAAGGCCAGTTCAAAGTGCCTCAGAAGAATCTCTTGCTAAAGAGGAATCTAACGTTCTTATTGTAAGTAAACATATTTATTTTTACAGTTGTAGTCTGTTTACCTTTGGATCTCTTTGTTTTTATTTTTACTTTCATCTGTACTGTGTTTTAGCCGAAATACTTCATCCAAAGACAAAACCGTAACCTACTTAAGGAGAACTCCGGCGCAAAATGAACCTTTGGTCTAATTACACATTGCTACCTAGTCAACCGTTATCTGAGATTTGTTTTCATGATTGGCGAATGTAAATAGTGTTATCTCTAAAAACAGTTTAGCCTATAATGCTAGTATAATGCTTGCATATAGGGCATAGAGTAATGACAAATAAAAATCGCTTGTTATTACCACTAACAAGGCAAAAAATAGCCCCGCAGTAACACGACAGCATAATAAGGATCCCTACATTCAAACCGAAGCATTCAGAACTTTGTCAGTGTCCATACAATTTAATAAGAAGATATTTTATACACACAGTCAACTTCGCGAATACAGGAAGAAGCCATCTTTGAAAAATAGTCTCTACCAGTCGATCTACGAACGCCGATCCATGTGCGCTGAACTGTGCAGAATCTCATATGGTCCGTTGTTTTCGGAAGAAACACAAACACGAACCATTTCTTCTCTTCAGTATGTACACGTAGCCTACTGTTCGTGCTCACCTTATCACCTTATTCACATCTCACCAGCGCACATGGATCGGCGTTCGTAGATCGACTGGTAGAGACTATTTTTCAAAGATGGCTTCTTCCTGTTTTTGCGAAGTTGACTGTATGTATAAAATATCTTCTTATTAAACTCTATGGACACTGACAAAGTTCTCAATGCTTCGGTTTGAATGTAGAGACCCTTATTATGCTGTCGTGTTAGTGTGGGGCTATTTTGAGCCTTGTTAGTGGTAATAACAAGCGATTTTTATTTGTCATTACTCAATGCCCTATTTACTATCGTTATACTAGCGTTATGGGCTAAACTGTTTTTATAGATAAAACTATTTACATTCGGCAATCATGAAAACAAATCTCAGATAACGGTTGAATAGGTAGCAATGTGTAATTAGACCAAAGGTTCATTTTGCGCCGGAGTTCTCCTTTAACCTTGTGTCATTCCAAACCCATTACTTTATTTCTTTCGAGAAACACAATCTGAGGAATTCAAAATAATTTTCGGTTATTTTTAGCGGACGACTAAGGAAATCTTTTTGTGAATGTGGGTTTGTAGTCTGTGTTGTTGAAATAGACTGCATACCGTTAAATAATAGTAAAAATATATATTTTATTTAGTTGTCCTGGTGGCCTGCACTGTAAAAATGAATGCGTTTTATCCAATCAAAAAAATTGTGGCAACAGATTACAAGCAATATTATTAATTAAATTTAACTATATAATTGAGTAATAATTAATCAAAGTAATTCATTAAAAGTTTTTAGAAAGTATGTGTAAGTCACCATTATGGTGCTCAGTGTTTGTTTTAGGTTTGTTTTAAAATGACGGTTTTCTGCTTCAATGATTCTGCTTGTTAACATCAGGTGTCTTCAATGTTGGCAATATAAAGTAAAGATAAAATAAAATAATTAATCTTTGACGTCAGTCTGTTATTCAGATATTTTTGTTTAATTTTTCGGTGTAAACTTTTGTAATGGGTTTTAAACGTTTTCTACTCATTTTAAATGGTTAACTTTTAAGGAATAAGTTTATTAAGTATTACTCAATTGTAATTTGTTCAATTTAATTAATAATATTGCTTGTAATTTGTTGCCACAAATTTTATGGATTAGATAAAGCATATTCATTTTCACGGTGTGTGCACACGCAAACATTCTATGCGAGCATTACTCCAATTCAAGAACAATTTTTTCTGAGCTGGTTCTAATATACAGTGCAAATTAATTAATATTTTTTTAATGATTAGTTAAGAGGAGTTACCAGAATTAAATATATTAGCTCATTAAACTGTAAAAAAAAAAAAAAAAAAAATGCTGCCTTAAATTTTTAAGTACAATCAACTTGGATATTATGTAATTTCAACTTAAATTACATTAAAAACTGTTGAATCTTGTATAACATAAAAAAGTTGACAATTACTAACTATTTTGACGAGTAAAAGGAATCCAAAAACATATTGATCATTCTGAAGTTACTTTCAGTGATAAATATAAAAATGTTTATGAGAAAATTACTTCAATTTTGGTATTTCTGTCTGATAATCTTCAGTCATGAACTACTTTTATCGTGTAATTTTTGTGTCTTTACTACCTCTGGTCACCGTTTACTTTTATTGTGTTGAAAAGAGCGGCGTTGAACATTTTTTTAGAACATCTCTTTTTGTCGGCCACCTGTGAGGGTGAGTAAATGATTTTCATTCCTTTAAAACTTACTGAAAAGTCTGAATCTTCTGCTCTGAGATGGTCAGCAATGTACTGAACTCCTTCTAAGGCTTTGAGAAGCGACTGCGAGAGATTGCTCATCGGCTCCACGGCATTCAGATCAGTAGTGCCGTCACAGATCTGAGCGTTGGGCATGTTGTGTCTGAGACACCTGCCAACTGTATCGTGATCAAGCTTCTGCAGACTCGTCCCCTCAGAAGTAAGACCGTGTTGGCAGCTCCCTGCTCCCTGAACACTCTCTTTGGCTTCCATGAACACACTCTCAGCACTGTGTCCTTGGATATCACAGTCTGTACACTCGGCTCCATCCTTGGGGATAGTGTGCAGCCGAGTGCCGATGGTGGCAACTGGAAATGAAGATGTGCTGGAGGCGAACATGCTGTTTGTGTACGCACAGGTGTAGCCGATGACCGGCGTGTGAGGTGTTTGGGAAGTTTCTTCTTGCAGGATGGAGTACTCGCTGCTGGGAGAACTGCAGAAAAACAAGGGTTTGGGGGAAGAGTCCTGCGGAATTTGATCCAACTTGTCAACCGAAGTGACCAAATGATGGAGCGGGCTTTGCGGGGAGATATCCAGAATGTTGCTCCGTAGAAACATGGACTGTGCCTCCATTGGCTTGTGCATCATCTCAATCAGTTTCACACAGTTCCTCTTACCCGAGGCAGGCGGACGCTTCATGAACAGGTAACGGGGCACCAGGTGAAGAAAAAGCTGGCGGACCCAGTACGGCATGCTGTGCGTGCGGGACGAACGGTGGTGTACGTTGAGCACAAACACCGTGATGATGATGGAGAGAGTGACGAAGATCATGGTGAAGAGTAGGTACTCGCCGATAAGCGGAATGACCAGTGAGGTTGAGGGGATGATTTCAGTGATTAGCAAGAGGAAAACGGTTAAAGAGAGCAGGACGGAGATACACAGCGTGATTTTCTCCGCACACTCTGAGGGAAGGTAGAAGACCAGCACCGTCAGGCAGGATATAAGCAGGCAGGGGATGATTAGATTGATGGTGTAGAACAGTGGAAGACGTCTGATGATGAAGTAGTAGGTGATGTCTGGGTATATTTCCGTGCAGCACTCGTACTTCTTGATGTTGTAAGTGCCAACGGCGTTTATTATGACCCATTCCCCGCTTTCCCAGTAGTCCATCTGGTCTACATCACTGGCCATGCTGACCAGGTCAATCTTGGCCTGATCGTACGTCCAAGAGCCGAATTTCATCTTGCAGTTTTGCTGGTCGAAGGGGAAGAAGGTGACATCGATGCTGCAGGAGCTTTTATAAATGGCAGGCGGTTTCCATTTTATCCTGCCGTTGTAAAACACCTGGGCTTTCGTCAAGTGAGTCACTGCGAAGTCTCCGTCCGCACTGCAGATCAAACACAATTCTGTCAGACAGTGCTTGCAATGAAATATCCGTGAAGCAACGTGAAAGACAGCTTAAGGTGTCAGTGTGAGCCAAGCCATCAATAACCTGTGACGTCTTTGACGCGCTTGGGTTTAGAGAACCTCACAACTCTCAGAACCTTCATTCCCGAGAGAGCAAATCTCTTGGATCAAGAGAATGGTAGAGAACGTATCATTTTTATATGGTTCGGTATTGACTTAAAGGAGAACTCCGCTCAATTTTAACATTGAGCTCATTTTTTGTACATTTGGAGTGCTGCCAGTACAGACAAAAACGACAAAAATTGGTGTTGCCTAAAAGTTCATGCGCCCGATCATTGGTAACTATGTGATGTTCAACATCTGATTCGGATGAACTATCCATTTGAGCTGATATTTCCAGAACACCACACAGCACTGTCATCGGCTGACAGTCTCCACTCAACATGACATCATACACGCCACTTTCGAGTCAAGTGGCGTGTTATCTCTACGCATTTTGAGCTATCCGCGTGTATCCGCGTGTATGTCTACGGCATTAACGTCTGAGTGATTCCGCGTGTCTATACACGCCGTCAAATGTACGAGCGAAACGAAGCGAAATGTACATCTACATCTGGGGAGCGATCTTTTTTCTTCCTAGGATGGTAAGGGAACAGTCATAAATGCCATTAACCCCAGTGACGGTTAGGTTTAGGGATGGGGTTGAGGTAAGTCATATTTATATATACAGTAATAACGTTAAGTCAACGGCGTTCATAAACACGCTGAAAAGCGATTATGCGTCTTGATAGCACGCCAAAAATGGAGATACGAATTGGCGTGTCATACACAGGCTACTTCATGAGATCAGTCTGCTCCACTGTTAGTTACCGATGATGGCACGCGCAAACTCGACAATCATCTACTGTGGACTTCGACCGAAAACAGGAAGTAAATACAGGTATGTGAGCTGGCTAAATTAACATCATTTTTATTAATATCTTTCACATCTACTGCAGTCAGATTGACCGTGGCCACTCTTAATAACACCACTCACATGGCTGTGCACTCAAATCAAGGATGTTAAGAGGCTAAAAGCAGGTTTACTCAGTGTAGGCAACACCGATTTTTGTCGTTTTTGTCTGACAGTACTGACAGCACTCCAAATGTACAAAAAAATTAGCTCAATGTTAAAATTCTCCTTTAAAATGCAACTGTGCAATCAAGAGATCATATATAAGAAAAATTCAACCAAAAATGTTGTCATTGTTTACTTCAAGCTTCAAAAGACAAAAATATCCTAATGTTAGGAGTTGTTAGTCACTGAAAATGTTTTTATTATTAAAATATTGATTATAAAAAAAATATTAAGCGTACGTTTTTAAGTTTCACAAACCTTAAAGCTACACTGTGTAACTCTTTTAGTTTATTCTTAGCTAAAAACACTTAGTTCTTTCAAAAATATATGTGCTCATTAATGTATATTTACTTGCTTCAAGTAATAAAGTAATCTCGTGAGTGTATAATATGCCATTGAAAATACATACGGGTAAGGGGTTCTAATGTCGGTCGCCATGTTGCCCCTCCATCTTGAAAGTACATTAGCCAAAGAGGGACATACCCGTTAATTCAAACTTCGCCTTTCGCGTTTGCGTTTAAGTTAACACTCATTGACGAGGTCGAACTGGAAGCCAAGTTAATCTTGGACAACATTGGCCACCGTAGGCATTAAAACGAAATCGGAATTGAGAGGAACAGAAACTAATATTCACTGGATAGTCATATACTAGATGGGGGTAAAAATCACACAGTGTAGCTTTAAGTACAATACAGACATCGACCAAAGTGGTAAACCTGATTTCACCAACATGTTCCTGGATCAACATCTTTGTTGATTGTGGAACAACATTCAAATCAACCAATAAATCAGAATTGAGGGACAAGTTTACAGTTTATGTCAATATCAGGCTTACAACCAGGGTTAGGTGGTAGGGTTAGTTGTGGGTAGGATTAGGTTAAGGGGTTAGAATTACATTTCAGGATCAAAAAATATGACATCTTAAAATCACTATAACCAATGAAAGCCATTAGGTGACTTGAAGTGAGGCAGATGTTGAATCAGGAAATACAGATTCAGTGAGTTAATTCATCACACTAATCTTTTTGCTTTTTGAAAGAGTCCTTAAAGTAAATGGTTCATACACTATAGGAGTCATTTGCTTGTGAATTGGACTGATTATTAAACAGTACTGTTTTCCCATGTTGATGAAATTCAATCAAACTCCATGGAATCATACGCAAATAGAACAACACAGGTGTAAGTAAACAATGACAGCATTTTCAATTTTGTGTGAACAAAAGACAAAGTAATACCCGAGTAATAAGTAATAATTCTAGTAATTTTAGTTAAAAAAAGTTAAATAAAATATCCTTACCTGAAATGTTTGAAGATTTTTGTTAGCGGTAAAAGTATGTTTTACCTATACATTTTAAACCTGGCAATGCTCCGATTATGACTCTTTTAGACCTAATGTTTATTTTACTGCAAAGACAATACACAATGCACCTTCAACCGAATGCTCTGTAATTTCACTGACTTCAACCTCTTTTATGGGACAGCGCAGATCAATACTCCATATAATGGAGGCCAGCTTAATGCGTGTGTTGTGTTCATTTAGTGACATCAAGAACACATACAGATTTAAGATTAAAATAGAATTAAAGATTACAAATTTCATGCACTAACCTCCTCTATAAGAAAGAACCACAACATCAACCTGAGGAAAAGAGCTAACTGAGCGCCATTAACAGTTACCCAAAGTGCAGCTTGCCATCAAACTGAATAACAATACTGGAACAGTGGGAGGTTAACTGTGTTTTGAAGATATAGATTTTTAGAAATAGATTTGGCTGAAATCCGGATTGTTAAAAGCTTTACACACTTGTTATAGAGCACAATATCCGGTCTCCAGATGATCTCGGAGGGGATCCTGATGGAGGTGACATTCTCATACTCCTCTGGGTTCCAGCGCAGCTTGTAATCGTTCCACTCCTGCAGGGAAACATGTGCGCTCATCACCGATCACAACCAGCAGGTATGACAGGGGTGGAGAGTGAAGCAACAAGAGCCCAGTTCCAATTAAAAATCTCATTAATGCCCAATTATGGGCTGTTTTATTTATGAAACAATACCTGCTTCACCCAGACATTTGTGGTCATCATCTGATTCTTCTCATCCTGGTTTATTATGAAGCAAAGTGGGATGCCCATGTGGAAGAGAGTAATAAGAGAATGGGGTGACTCTGAAGCAAATAAGAAATTACAATATATTTCACATACAATTTTTGTAAAATCAAGATGTCTCAGCATCTGAGACTCACCACATCAATGAGCTGAGCAATGGACAGGCCAAAGTGGACCAGAACCACGTCTGAGATGTTTGCTACAGGACGAGAGAGCTTGTTGTACTTGCTGAACAATGATTGGAGTAGTCTTTCTTCCGCATGGGCACGAGCTGGACTGACGGAAAACACTGCCAAAGGGATTTAAAAAAAAAAATGTTTTTGTTTTAACTGCTGAGACAATTACAGTGTTAAACTGATTCCAAGCAAATATGATAAAAAATGATTTCAAGCATTCTGGTCACACTTTATATTAGGTGTCTTTAACTACTAGTAATCATTTTTATGTACAATGTGTTGATGTTGTATTGCAAAACACTGGGGTGGGATACGGGTACGTTTGGCTTAAGGTGTAAGGGAAAGGTAAACAATGTAACTAAGTTATTAAAGAAATGAATTACATGCATTTTAAATATAAGTACAATGTAAAAAAAGTGATATGTATCAAATAAATGTTGTTAGTACATACATAAAAACATTTAATAAAGACCAACATTTCTTTTAAACTGAGAACCTATAGTTCTTTGTTACTATTATTCTACTTTTTATAAATAATTATCATTTTATTATACACACACACACAGTACTGTGCCAAAGTCGGTAACACTTTATAATAACTACACGCTAATAATAATTAGTTAAGCATGAGTAAACCATTAATTCATCATTCATAAAGCATTAATAGACATTAATAAGCAGTTCATAAATACAGCTATAAATGCTTTCTTCTTGATTTAAAAGCATATCTATAATTTGTTTAATAATTGTATTTTAATCCTTTATTAATGATAAATTTATCATTTATAAATGAAGAATTGCATTTTTTATGAGCCAGTTATTTAAGAGTTTTCAGTGGTTCGTACGATTACTTAGAGCGAGTAAGTAAATGATTAATAAACTATTGAAATGTACATTCATACATCTTATTATTCAGACATATAGTGATGGTTACTTAATGTGTTAATAAATGCTTTGTTAACATGTATTAATGCTGTAATTAAGGGTTAATTTGGGTAGTTATAAAGCATTTAGTAGTGGTCAGTTAACTATGTTCGTGAGCTCATCTAAAGTGAGGACTAGTCATGCCTTGTAAAGCATTTTTAAAGGCTGTTAAATATTTCTATGTTCTGTATGTTTGTTACATTTTACTGTTTAGAAGATTGACGAGTCTTTAAATCACCTTTATAAATGCTTTACAAAGCATGAATAGTCCTCACTTTAGATTAGGTCACAAAAATAGTTAACTGACCACTACTAAATGCTTTATAACGACCTGTATTTACTACATTCACTTACACTTTTTAAGTGATCTTATGAATGACTGTCAACTCTTAAACAACTGGTTTGTAAATAATGCTATACTTCATTTAGAAATTATTAATTGATCATTAACAAAGTATGAAAATACAATCATTAAACAGATTATAGATATGCTTATAAATCAAGAAAAAAGCATTTATAGCTATATTTATAAACTGCATATTAATGTCTATTAATTAAGTGATGAATTAACTGTTTACTCATGCTTAACTAATGATTAATAGCGTGCAGTTATTATAAAGTGTTACCCAAAAGGCTTAAGCAAACAGAAAAATAGTTTTAAGCCAGTTATTTATATGTTTTGATGTATTGTGTCAGTAGGAAATATCTGACAACAGCCGGTGCTCCGCACGGAGATCTGATCTCACCATCATCGAGTCCATCTAGTATTACATGACGAAATAGAAAAAACTGAGACAGACTAAATACAGAAGAACTGTGGCAACATCTCCAATATAATTGAAGAAACCTTCCTTGTCAGTCTCCGTGTGCATACCAAAATTTCACTGGATTATTACAATTAATGACGGCTGAAGGACTGTTTGAAGTATAAACTGATATTTCCTACTGACACAATGCAAATACCTAGCTTTAAAAAACTTTTTTGGGGGGTGAAACATGTCTAAGACTTTTGAACAGTACTGTACGTATATAAATATAGCTGTCATAATTATTAGTTACAGCTTTCTTTCTAGCAATGTATAGGAGCACCCATTAAACGTTATGTTGTGACAAAACAAAACAAAAAGACTGAGAAACTTACACTCTCTCATTCACGCTGCATCAATACATAAACAGGAAACTGAGCAAAACTACAGCGAGTTACAAATAAATTAAAGCCGAAGGTCAGACTTTACCAAATGCTATCTCCAAACAGACAGACAGAAGAAAGAAGACACTCCACGCTGCTCTCATTTTGTCCACTTGATGTCAGATGATATCCCACTCTGGTGATCTGCAAGAATTTTGATACAGAAAATTGATAACAATGTCCAGTTGCCTAAAATAATAGACAAAAAGTAAATAAATAAATAAAGACCCGTAGATCATCTCTCTGCAAACTGACTTAAAAAGTGAATGAAAACAGCCACAAAAAGTCACTCAGTGTCCAAACCTTTGGTAAAAGTGAGGAGTCCCTCAGAATTTCTCTCTAGCTGTCATTAGAGTCTTTCCCTCCCACTTTCTCTCCTTCCTTCCTTCTCTCTCTCTCTCTCTCTCTCTCTGTGTGTGTATGTGTTTTGCTGTTTCACTCTCAGTATCTTTCCTCTCCGGCCCCTCCACCTTCCAATCTTTGCCTATTACGCTGAGTAGATGTTATGCGCTGGAGGCTGTGCCTTATACATGAGAATGTCACAGAGGGAGAAAGAGAGAGAGGGGGGGGGGGGGGGACTGAAAGATATTGATTGAGGACAAAACCCTTAAAATGATGTGGCCAAATTCAAAGGTGCTTAATATTTGTGATCATGAACGGTTTTTGAAAGGCATTTTACAAGCAGTTGTTTTAAATGTTTAGCCTTTAAGGAAGTTTAAGATAGTAAAAATACAGGATCAAAAGAGCAAGCAGGTGTGAGAGAGAGAGAGAGAGGGATGATGGAAAGTCGCAAGGAGAAATAAACAGACTGAAATATGTCTGGAAATGATCTAACAGTGCAGATGAGCAGTGCGGCCAAACTCAGGACGCTTTCTGCTTATTAATTACAAGAAGAGCCACTCCGTCTCAGCGTCCGTCCCTGATTGGATGGCATGTCCTGGTTCAAGATATTTAGCTGATTCTGGAACTACGTTCCTGTCCGAAAATTTAAACCTAACCCTACCTATAAGTTATCCCTAAAATCAGAGGGAAATGAGGTGAATAACTCTGATGTAGAAGCACCTGACCTTGGCTATAAGCCTAAACTTGACAAAACTGTTCTGATTGGTTGATTGGGATGTTGTTTCAGTATTAACAAAGATGTTGATCCAGGAACATGTTAGGATGTTCAGTGGTTAACATTTACGTATTAATCTGTTAAACAGACTTAAATGGACATTTCTCTCAAACAATGAAAATCCTTTTCCCTCAAGACTTGCATGTCTTCAGGCTGCTATCAGGCATAGATTAGCATTTTAAAATAGAGTAAATAAAATATTTATCCATGCTGTTTCCAATCCAGCACACACCTGCAATCCACCAAGAGCTTATCCAAGAAACTGATTAACCATCTGTCCGGAGAGGCAATAAATCAGCTATGGACGACCCACGATGTCTTTATGAATAATACAGATATGAACTGGACATGCATAGAGAGCTTACAATACATGCTCGCCATACATAAAACATCTCGGATGTGTGAAATGCTCAATGTGAAATGTTTTCCCCTCACTGCTTACAGCTGACTTATCACTTCACCTAATTGCTAGACCATGTAACCTATTTATTTGCCTACAAACACTAATTGTTGGACACAAACCAGCTGCGAAGAGCTATTTTCTGGCTGTGAATGTGGCTGCGGTCATCAACATTCATAATTTGTTTCATCAGATGCCATTTGCAAATGCCCATAGAGAACGGTGTCCTCCACGCGAATGAATTCAACCTTGAATCGCAATATCCAGACTTTCATTAAGGTGCAGAGAGAAAAGACCTGAGTGAGATATCGTCTCTCTCCTCATCTGTCTCTCTCTCTCTCTCTTCCTCGTTCACACAGATACACACACTCATATACGCTTAAACTCAAGAGACATTCAGGATCAATATCATCCTATTGAATCTAAAATATCCACACACCCCGAATGCTTATCTAACGTAGCCGCGTGTAATATAATTTCAGCTCTGATCAATAGGCGGATATGACTTCAACCAGGATTACATAAGAGAGAGAGCAATTCAATGGTTCTTTAATTGACAGAAATATGAGTTTAATAAAAAGCTATTCATGTGATGAATTCATGCCCAAACCTAGAGCAACACTCATAAAGCAAGTGGATTCCTGAATGTGATGTTCACATCGAACTTAGTGAACTACATGTAATTGTGGATCAATACTGTGCTGGTGCGGGTGCTAGTTTCCAGTCACAACACCTTTTCACATATCAGCCCTCCATAATTCATCACAGTTATGTGCCATGGAATCAGAATTACATACAAGCAGCACATCTGAGGCCATATATGACCCCTGACCTCAGCAGCGCTCCACACTGTGTGCCAATGCGTAGATTCGTGAATATGTGGTTCAATGACATGACCCTGTTTTTTCTCCTGTCTTTAATAAGGATAGTTCAAATTCTGTCATCGTTTAAGTTATTCCAGACCTGTATGATGTCCTCTTTCGAAAATAAAATGAGAAACATGCTTTAAACTATATCGTCTTTTGTGTTTTTCAGAAGAACGAAAGTCATACTTTTTCATTTTTGCATGAACTATCGCTCATCATTTATGCAATTCATACATTTAATGATTTAAATACACTCGTTATAATGTCCATCTATTTAACTTCTCAGAATTAATTTTGATATTTTTTGGGTACAGTCAAAAATATCCAGGGGATACGACTGTCTTGATGTCATAACAAAGACAGAACTTTTCTTCTTGAAAAGTAAACCTTTTTATACAATTGTCACGGTGTGGGTTCATGTCTGATTCCTGTCTGTGTTTCCCTTGTCTTGTGTAAACTTGAGTTATTTCCTGTTCTGTGTCATGTTTTGTAGTCCTTTGTAGTTTTCTAGTTTTTGTTTCTGATTGACCACCCCTCTTGTTAGTCTCTGTATTTAAACCCTGTGTCTTGTTCCAGTGTTTGTGAGTTCTTAATGTTGTAATGGTTAGCTGTTAGCTGTTAGCTGTTTCCTTGTTCCTGGTCTAAGTTTCTTTGTTTTTCGTTTACCTTGGACTAACTGTTTGTTTTGTTAAAGGGACACTTCACCCATTTGAATGGTCATGGTTTATTCCCTAATTTTCCCCTGAGATGAGAGAAATAACGATTTAAGTGTTTTACTTCCTGCTTATTATGGCGTAAAAATCGTCATTTTGCATCAGAAGAAACTAATCATCATATAGAAGAAGAGGATTTTGAAATTCTGCTGCTCGAATCCGATGTTGTGGCTATCTTTACGAGCTGCAGTATAGTGAAGAGCAGCTGAGGCTGATGGAGGAACAGGAGGCGGCTGCCTGTCGCGGTCGAGGAGCCTGAACTGGCTCGAGGTGAGGCGGACTGCTGGTACCTGTGCTCTCGGTAGAGATAGAGTCCAGATAACTGCAGAGAATTTCAACAATGGCAATTTCTCCTGAACGAAAGCTCTGAATCAGACGAGCACACGGACGTTTGTGTTGTGATGTGAACCATCCTAGTTTCGCCTGACTGAACATCCAGGTATCATGCAGGAATACACCATATAGAAATAAATACAAACGAGGAGTAATTCACTAATGAGTTTGCCAATGTAAAGTTAATGGGGTTTGTTGTTGTGGGAAGGAGGAGGCGGGAACCGGCGAACATTTAAACATTTTAATAGTAAAATGAACAAATACAAAACAAAAGTATCCCAAGAGTCCCTCATTGACGACTGCTGTAATGTTACTCACAACAGAAACAAAACACAGCATAAAATCAGGCCTGTTTATCTCTTGGTCTGCCATTGTCGCTCCTCATTTTATGCTTTCGCTCCACCGGCGCGCGTCTCACAGGTGTCTTTCATTATCACTCACGCCCCTCGCCCTCGATCGATCCACTGCCAACTAACTTGAAATTTTGTGTGAAATGAATTTCAAACTCTGGTGACAGCTAACGTTAGCTTTGTAGACGGAAGAGTGATTTCTCTGATGTGTGCGCAGTTCCGGATTAGTGGGTGTGGCTTGTGGAGCTGTGCAATGTGGTGCATTGTGGGTATTGTTGTCTTTCATACAAATGCACCCTTCGATTATTTTCTGTCTTTTCTCGGTCAAGAGGGCACCAAATTAAAAAAATATTTGACATTTCGACTACATATGATCGACTTTCAAAAGTGGCTCCTTTAAGGAATGTGCTTGCGATTGGATTCACTTTTCTGCTTCATTCCTTCTGCATCGTTGCAACAATATAGTTTAGCTTCATCTTTTTGGAAAATAATCATTAAATATACAATAAAACATACATTTAAATTTATTCTGTTGAATGATACAAAAGATTTTTGTTTAACTCTGTCATGGAAACTATGTATGAACTTTAATTTAACAATTTATAAATCAATTACAAAGCAATTTATCCCTGTGTGATATTACGCTGTACCCACATTGAATCAGCAGTTTGGAAAATGACTCTCAGTGCATTATGGGTATTGTCTTACCATTGAGCATATGCATTGTGGGATTGCATATTGCACTTGACAACGTCCACCATATGGTTTCGGACACCACTACCTATAGCTGTTCCCTCAAGTAGCGTCCTGTTTAATGGTATCGGGGACAATTTCGAACACAGTCAGTTGCAAAAACACTTTTGATGCATTCTGGCCGTTCATTTACACGACAACAGCGTTTTGGGTGGCCTGAGAACGCAAAATTTTGAAGTTGGTTTCAAGGTGCAAGTTTTTGAATCGGGTTTTGAAAGCAATACCATTATCATCTTCAGTGACGGCATGGACAAGCATATTACATGTTTATACTATAGGTGAGCGTGTTTGAATGCTTATGTGCGAAGGCGAGTGGGTCTTTCTTTACAGAGTGACAATGCCAATTACTTGTCTGGCATTCATAATACAGCATAGTCGTTTCCACGGATCTTTGTGAAAGGGAATCATTGTGATATCATTTTCATCTGTTGAGGAAAAACTTTTGTTGTACAAAAAATGTTTTTGTCATGTCAATGAGGCCTTCGCAGGGGATAGTCTTGACACAGTCTCTGCTGACACTTGTTGTGGTCCTTTATAGACGCAGGTCCTTCATCTGATCTGGATCCGGCCCTGATCCGGCTGACTTGCGTAACTAACATCAGGTGTTATGTGAAGTGTTCCCAGTTCCGGCTGACCTAATCTATGCAGCCTAATAATACATTTTACATTATTTGAATTAGAAATTGATAATGTGTATGTGTATGCCAACATGTGTTTTTAGTCTAAATTTAAAATAACAGTGTGTCTGCTTCCCGAATAATGTTAAGAAGACTGTTCCACAGTTTAGGTGCTAAATAGGAAAAGGATCTACAGCCGGCAGTCGA